GAGAAAACCCGAATAACCAAAGACCTACATACAAACACCCGCAAAAACCTCAGAAAACATATATATTTCTAAAATTTGGATTGCTAGCAAAGAATTAAAGGAGAACTGGAATAGCTATTTCGAACTTTAATTCTTTGCTAGCAATCCAAATTTTAGAAATATATATGATGTCGCAGTTGTGACTGACATGCCTGTGGATGACTCTAGTTTGAGCTGATACAAGGCAAAAGATTTCTTTCTCCCATATTTGGGTCGACAGGGTGTACAAATAGCACTCAATATATATATATTCAGATTTCCTTTTGCTGACAAAGAGTTAGAAAATTAAGTGGGAGACTAGTATAGCTATTTCAGGCTCATTAGTCCTTATCACCTAGCCACACCCTTTATGGGATTCAAACCTAGGCAACCTACATGCTAGGCAATTGTATTAACCACCAGGCCACTGGCTCTCCTCCCCTCTTTGTCAGCCGAGTTATAAAAAAAAATAGAACTGCAGTATAGCAGTCAAAAAAAAATGCCAAGGTGCAATCAATCAGACCGGTCTGTCTGAAAAAAACTTTCTGTATGTGTGTGTGTATATATATAAAAGATCATTGTGTGATCTGCTTTGGAAGGTCGATAAAGAAGAGTTTCGTTTCCCAAAAGGCATTCTGTCTTGATCTGTTTGCGATGGGCAATTTTAATTTCTGTTATTTGTGCGAATGTGTTCATTTCAGCTTCTCTCGGGTTCTTTTTTTCTTTTCCTCAGAAATATGGCCATTTCAGTTTTTCTGTTTCTCAATAAATCGGGTTTGTTGAAACGGGAGTGGTGGGATTCAAATATGTGAACCGGTTCTCCATGTGGATGCCGCTTCCGGAAGTCCATTCTGGGCCTGGGCAACAAAAAATTAGCTACTGGTTCTGCCGAAGTGGTGCGAACCAGCTAAATTCCACCACTGCATGAAGGTATATATTTTGGCACATATCAGGCATATATTAGATGTATATTTATGTTGCCAGAATGACCATGGCAGATCTGAAGGAGGCCATGCGAGACACAGGGTTGTGGAGAGTGACCCAGAGACAGACAGGACTGAATAGCTGATGGTGATGATATGTTTTGATTTGCATTTCTATATCCTTTTTTAAAAAAACCAAAACAAAACTGACTAGCACTTTAAGTACAAAGCCAACTGGATGACCTTGGGCCAGTCAATTTATCCCAGCCCTAGAAAGAAGGCAATGGCAAACCTCTTCTGAAAATCTTGCCAAAAATATTGCAGAGACTAGTCCAGGCAATTGTCAGGAGTCAACAACTAGCTCAAAGTTGCATGTGAGCATGTATACACACATGCGTGGGGAGAGAGAGAGAGAGAGAGAGAAAAGAAGAAGGAGGGGGAGGAGGAGGAGGAGGGAGGGGAAGAGGATGAGAGAGAGAGAGAGAAGAAGAAGAAGGAGGAAGAGGAGGAGGAGGGAGGGAGGGGGAGAGGATGAGAGAGAGAGAGAAGATATTGAGAGTTCAATGTATTTTGAACATTAACTATGTTTCAATTAGTGTATTTCTTTAAAAATTCAAAATAATCTAGATTAAACTGGCAGTGATTTAAATGAAATAAAATACTCCTGCACCCACTCACCCATCCTTAGGGCCATTGATCTGTCTAGTTCCAACATAACCATTTACCAAAATACTGGAAATTGTTTTATAATAAACTGCAGAATCAGAACTATAATGGATAAGATGGATGGATGGATGGGTGGGTGGGTGGATGGACGGATGAACTGATGGACAGACGGACAGACGGATGGAAGTACAGGTGAGTGGATGGGTGGACCATGATATAATGGCAATTGTGATATATTGGAAAGCTGCTGAATGACTTGCACATTAGCACACACACGTTCAGGAAAAGGACTGGAAAATGCTTCATCTGACACCAGAGGGAGCTCCAGGACCTCGAGAGAAAACAATATTTAACATCTATTCCTTCATCTCAGAAAAATAATCAGCTGAGAAAGAAGAGCTGGGCATTTAGAAGGGCTGTCCAGTCTCCAGTGATGAGCGCCTGCAAAGCTACAGAGAAGTGAGATCAAAGAATGGATCAGGGGTCTTTAGGGTGGGTCCATCTTTGCTGCTGACCTGCTTTGACCTTTTTTGGCTGAGAGTTCACGTTGGGCTGATCTCCATGCTGGTCTGGGCAAGTTAGACGTAGAGCAGGAGCTACTGAGCCTAAAAGAAATGCATGGAGCAGCAGAATGAGTCCAAGGAACAAGAAAATCACAGACAAGCCACAAAGGAAAGAGAAGGAGAAAAGAAAAAGGGGGAAACATTCAAAACAGACCCAGGTGGAGCTAAAAGGGACTTCCTGCTCTTGGAACGGGCAAACTGGATTTAGGAAAATAACAAAGACCTTATGATGTTGTGATTGGAATATTAGTAAAATTGAGATTTTGTTGCTTTAGAATCCCTTTCCGCATGCAGAAATTGACTAAAACATTTGGGAATTCAAAACAGGCCAGGTGGATGCAGAAACTTAGGAAAGGTCTTTGCCACTTCCTGTTGCCTTCTCTTCACAGCCTGATGTGGCTGCCTTCAACTCCCTAATGGTTGGCCGTGAGTACCGAGCTAGGATAAACCAGATTGAAATCCTACTTGGTCATGTGATTTCCCCAGTCTCTCCACCTTCCCCACAGGACTACCATGAAATAAAACTTCATGGGGAGAATTTCATGAAGGCTCCATCTCCAGGCAGAACAAGCCAGGTTCCCATAGAATCAAATACATGAAGGTCCTTAGAAAGGCGCTGATTTCAGTTTGGTTGTAAAGGGGGATGATACTGAGCAAAGATAAGAATATAAGGTGATATTAATACTGTGATCTTCCTCCACAGGGGGAAAAAAAACCAACAACCAAGAAGCTGACCCAGCAAACGAAATCATATTAGAACAATAAAATCATGCTCAGATCCCAGGCATAACATTCAAATAAATTCATAGTTTGAAAAATCAATGTGGCACTGATCCCGTTTTCCAAAGATCCCGTAGCTCACACCAAAATGGTATCCCTAAAAAATTCTGAAATTAGAATTCTAGGTCACCCTCTTCAGACTCTGAAGATCCTTTTTTTATTATTATTGAAAAGTTTTATACGGTATACAATATCCCAAAACCCACTATCCCCACTTCCCAGAGCTGAGTACAGGGTTACAAATTAATAATCAAATTCTAATTAACATTACCCAACTATATAAGTAACCAAATCCATAAAATACTTTAACTCCCATTTAAGATAAATATAAGCAAATTAAAACAAAAAGAATATAAACAAGTCAATATTAATTAAACCATAGTAATACCAAATCTAAAATGAGTTATTATACTATCAATACTAATCTAAAATTTAGTCATAAGCTAGATGAAACTTTTTAATCCCATATTTATTCTGAATATACTCTATCCATCTTCTCCAAACCGAAATATATCTTTCTTGTGTACAATCCTTCAAATAGGCAGAAATTTTTGCCATTTCTGCTCAATTTGACACCTTAAATGTCCATTCTTCTATAGTAGGCAAGGACTCTTTCTTCCAATATTGCCCTACCAATAACCTTGCTGCTGTTATTAAGTTCAACATCAAGTTAGTTTCTTTAACATCAAAATCTACAATAATACACACTCTGAAGATTCCTGAGTCCAAGACCTTCTTCCACGGGTACCACAGACAGAACGGTTTCTATGACATTTCCCAGGCCACAACGACTTTGTCTGGGTTGTTGAAAAAAAAAGGAAGGATTTGCTTCCCACTACTCATCCCTCCGAAGGTGGAAAGGGGCCCTTTTTCAACAGTTTAGCCAAATTCTTCAGCTCTTGCCTTCTGTAATCCCTTCTCAACTTTGAAGGAATGTTCAGGTGACCTTCCAGAGCTGGAAGAGAGATGGTGCTACCTTGCCCTTGGCCTCCCTGAGCAAAGTATCCTGGGCCTGGCTTAACAAGTTGAGTTAGTTGCGTTTACCCTCTTACACAGAAGTCACTGGACCAACTCCTGGATAGGAAGGGTACAATTTTCCCATGTGGGTTGGCTTTAGCGCGGTCTGCTGGACCCAGCTGCGATTGGCTAACTTGTGATCTACCTCAGGAGAGCAGGACTGGAGAGGACACAATTCTAGTTAGTGTTTGGATGGGGATCACCTGGGAATTCTAGAGCTGTGAACTAAATTAGATACAGACTCATCCCAGAAAAGAAGACCAGGACAAACCAGCTCTGTAGCACAGCAGTGCCCAGAAAACTGCGTAGATTCAATCATCACAGATCACATTTCATTCCAAGAATATCTATCTTAAATTCGTGGGTTTTCTGTGTGGTGTGAATAAGGCAACATCTGATATTTCCCCCCCACACTCACACATACACACACTTGTTTGGAGCACGTAGGGGGCAAAGCAGGGTGGCACAAGTGGGGGTTGATGAAGTCTAGGAACAAATCCCAAGGGGAGTCTGTGGTGCTCTCTGAATTTGATTGCTTTCTTGCGGAGGTTTCAACATCCAACTCCGTAACATCATCTGATGTCTGAAAGCAAACAGCCAAGCTCGGAGAGCACCAAAGATCACCCAGTTCAACCCCGAGCTACAAATACGTTTTCTTCTCTCGGTACAAATCCCAAGGTTTGACTCAGGCCCGGATCATCAAATGGGGGCCTCGATCCCCAGGTGCTTGCATAACACGTGTGTGCACTGGGTCTTGAGATTGACTCTTGAAATATTGTTGCGGCGGCGGCGGCTGGGGAGGGAAGGGGGGAGTTGAATGCGTGCAGAGGAAAACCGGGGGGGGGGGTTAAGAGGGCGCGGTGGGGCGGAAACGGAGTAGCGGCGTCGGGCCCGCCGGCTTTGACGCGCTTGCCTTTGATCCATTCAGAAATTCCCGGTGGCCAAACGGGGGGGGGGGGGCGGGGAACAAAGGACGCGGGAGCTGCCGGCGGAGGGAGGGCGCGCGCCGATTGGTCGGCTCCGGACCTGAGCATCCCGGGCGGGGCCAGGGAGGAGAGGCAGGGGGAGAGGCGAAGGCGCGGGGCGTCCGCAGCCGCCGGCACCACCTTGGCGGAGGCAGAGCCGGGAGGAGGAGGAAGAAGAAGAAGAGGAGGAGGAGGAGGCGGCGCAGGAGCAGCGCCGGGGAAGGCAGCTCGCCTCGCCACCCACCCGCTGCCATCAGTAGCTGCGCAATCCTCTGGCCTGGCCGGGCACGCCTCATCCACCCGCGCGCTTTGCAAGGCAGACAGCCGGCCGGTTCCCCGGGCCAGGCCGTCCCTGCAGCGGGCGAGTGAGCCGGAGCGGGCCGCTGCCTTGGCCCGGCCGCTGCGGGGCGTGATGGTCGGCTGAGCGGCGGCCGGGCAGCCCTCCCTGCCGCCGCCCCGCCGCCCTCGGCTCGCCATGGCTGCCAAGGAGGACTTGTACGGCCAAGTGGCGCCGTGGAGGAGCCGGCAGAGCCGGGCGGGCACCGTCAAGCGCGGCTCTTCGCTGGAGATCCTGCTCTCCATGGGCTTCCCCAAGACGCGAGCGTGAGTTAGGCCCGGGAAGGCGGGAGGGAAGGCGGGAGGGCTGGGCAGGGAATCTGCTCTTGGGGGAGAGGAGGACGGAGGAGACGCGCATTGCCCTTCCCGGAGCTGGACTGGCGCGCTTCGCCTCCGAGCCAGCGCCAAGCGCGCAGCCCGGTTCCTGCTTCACCCCGGCTGGGCAGGCGATCCTCTCTTCCTGCCTTGTCTGTCCGGACAGCGGAGCAAGGGAAGGTGCGCTCCGGGGCTGGGCGATGAGGCTCTGGAGCGGAGCGGGGCTGGGCATCCCCTTGGCCGGCCGGGGAGGAGGGGAGGGGGGGTCCAGGGGAGCCGTGCGCTCTTTTGCACCCCAGCGCAGAGGCCGAGCGGCGCCTCGCCCAGCCCGGCAGCGGCCAAGCTGCTGTCTGGGTGGCCGGAGCGGAGAGCGGACGGCGGAGAGGCCAGCGCTGGCCTCGCATCGGCCGATGGCTCCTCCGCCTGGTCGTTGCGCTCCCTCGTCTCCGTCTCCCCTCCACGCCGCAGCCCCGAGCGGCCCACAAGAGGCAGGGCTGAGTTCGCAGCTGAAAGCGAAACTGGGCGCTTTCCACCACCATCATCCACCCCGCGGCTGGGAGTGATGGGAGTGATAGTCCAGGACGCCGAGCGCATCCCGGGCTCCTGGAGAGGCGAGCGCTTGGCTGGCTCCGTCGCCTCGCCTTGGAGCAGTGTTTCTCAACCTTGACCATTTTAAGGCATGTGGACTTCAACTCCCAGAATTCCACAGCCAGCAAAGCTGGCTGTGGAATTCTGGGAGTTGAAGTCCACATGCCTTAAAATGGTCAAGGTTGAGAAACACTGCCTTGGAGGAATTGCGAGCTTCTCCCTCGGGCAGGAGAGCCGGGAGAAGCGTTTCCTCTGCCTCTCCTCCCCTTCGCTGGGCTGTCGCCCTGCTACGCCAGCTTTTCCAGCCGGTTGCCCTCCAGCTGTGTTGGAACTCGACTTCCCAGCCTGCAGAAGCGGCAGGGTGGTTGGCCAGGCTGTCGAGGCATTCTGGGAAATGTAGTCCTGGCGCATCTGAAGGGCAGCAGACTTTGGAAAGCTGGCTTCCAGGATTTTGGGGCATGAGGCGTTCTCATTTGGCCTTGATGGGCATTTTGGCTCTGCAAACCAGTGTTTTTCATGCAGGCTTTTCGCCTTCCTTCCCTCTAACTACAGGTAGGTCAGCCCAGGAATGATATATTAGCCTGCCAGTTGTCAGGGGAAGTCTGTCAGTTGGAAGGGGAAAAACTGGTTATGCAGTTCTAAAATGCCTTTCGGAAGGAATAACCTTTGGCATCATTAACTTTTTTCTCCAGCAAACATCACCCACTTAATCCATCTGGGCCAGGTGCCATTTAAGGCACGTGGTTATTAACTAATGCAGGTGCTAGAACTAAAAGCGATAGGGTCCAGAACAAGGCCATCCCCTCAGTTCAGTTAATATTGGATGTAGAGTTTCATATGAAGAGATTCAATTCGGATGTCTTGTTAAAAAAGCTGTCCGGTCTCCTTTTTTTAAAATTTCCAGTGATGGAGCACCTACAACTTTTGGAAGCAACTTCTGTTCCACTGGTTAATTGTTCTCACTGTCAGGAAGTTTCTCCTTAGTTCCAGGTTGCTTCTCTCCTTGATTAGTTTTCATCCATGGCTTCTTGTTTTGCCTTCAGTTGCTTTGGGAAATAGACTGATATCCTCTTCTTTGTGGCAGTCCCTGAGATATTGGAGCACTGCTATCATGTCACCTCTACTCCTTCTCTTTAGCAGAATAACAAAATTGGAAGGGACCTTGGAGGTCTTCTACTCCAACCCCGTTCAAGTAGGAGACCCTATACCATCCCAGACAAATGTCTGTCCATCCTCTTCTTAAAAACCTGCAATGATGGAGCACCCACAACTTCTGGAGGCAAGCTGTTCCATTAATTAATGGGACTGATTAAGCTTTCAAGGTGCCAAGATTGCTTCATTAAGCAAAGGGTCTAAAAAGTGGGGAAAGAAAAAGGAAGCTGAAAATATACATTGGTCATGTTAAAGTCTGCAGAGTCATCATCTCAAAATCAAGAGTTCTAATGGAATCAGGAAAAAAAAGAAAAAGAAACAGATAAAAATGAAGGTAGACTGTTTGCTTCTATGTTTCATCCATTTTGCTGGTGATCAGCTCTTTCCATTTTTATGCTCTCTGATGAATATTTGGAAATTTCAAAAGCTTTTTGGGGGGTTCTCCCCCATTTTTGGGTGGTTTTTGATGATTTGACCATCTTGGGCAATACTCTTACTGTAATATAGCTTTTGGTTGATGATGATGATGATCTGAAATTATATTTGGGTCAACGGAAGTATTCTTTGCTTTTCAGTTTCAAATGAAATTAAGCTAGGAAAGGGATGGCAAACGAGTGGATTTTATTTTGCTTTTTATCTTCTGCAGCTGATCTATCAGGATCTAGTATACTCACTAACTTTGGCATATAATACCCAGGGTAATTTTTAAACTACCAACTCATTTGCTTGGCTTAATAGTAGAATTTGTATCAATGAACGCTGCACCTCCTCCAGATTTTAAGAAGAGGCTGGCCAGGACCTTGGAGAATATTCAAGATTCCTCGCCATTCTCATCCATTGTTTAGAAGCCAATCACACACAAAAAAGCACAATAATTTACATATCTGTGCACTTGGCTGCCTTAGCCTGAAACTCACTATATTCTCTCCTCCACCCACTGGTGTGATGTTTTGATGTTCGTTTTTCCATTGACCTATTTTGATACCTTGAAAGATACCAGCAATCAAAAACCATAAAGGGGTACAGATAGTCTTTGAAGTTACAAGCACCACGGGAGGGGACAGAATTTTCATTGCTAAGCAAGGTGGTTCTTAAGTGAGTTGTGCCCAATTTCACGGCCATCTTTGTGACGGTTGTTAAGTGAATCACGTGATTGTTAAGCAAATCCAGCTTCCCGCATGGACTTGGCTTGTCAGAAGCACCCTGGGAATGTCGTAAGGGGGGAATCGCATGATCCTGGGATAGGGCGACCATTGTAAACACACATTAATTGTCAAGCTTCTGAATTTTGATCACGTGATTGGAGATGCTGCAATGCTTATAAGGGGAAGAAGTGGTTGTAAGTGGTACAAAGCTACCTCGGTACTCATCTGTAATTCGTTCCAGAAGATGCGACGAATACTAAAATTGACAGGTACTGAGAAAGCCATGTAACTTATCATGTGACCAGCGATTTCGGCTGGAAGAAATACAGGTAGTCCTGGACTTAACGACTGCAATGGAACCCAACATTGCTGTTGTTAAGCGAGACATTGGTTAAGTGAGTTTTGCCCCATTTTACGACCTTTCTTGCCCTGATTGTTAAATGAATCACTGTAAGTTGATAAGTTATTAACCCGGTTGTTAAGTGAGTCCGGCTTCCCCTTGGCCTTTGCATGTCAGGTCGCAAAAAGGGGATCACGTGACCTCGAGACACTGCATCGGTCGTAAATATGAGTCAGTTGCCAAGCGTCCGAATTTTGATCGCGTGACCGTGGGGGGCGCTGCAACGGTCGTAAGTGTAAAAAATGATCATAAGTCACATTTTTTCAGTGCCGTTGTAACTTGGAATGGTCACTAAAGGTTCTGTTGTAAGTCGAGGGCTCTCTGTAGGAGTCACAAGGCCGCTGATGTCAGCAAGTTCTTCCTTATGCATTGACTACCAGGAGAAAGATGAATGCCGGGACAACATTTGTACTTCAAAATGCGTCAAATACCAAATTCAATGAATTTTGAAGCAGTCGAGTGCCGAAGTGTGTGACTGTATTTTTTTTTTATTGAAAATTTTTTAAATTTTACAAAAAAAAGTTCCCTTCCCCGAACCCTCCCGACCCTCCCCTACCCTCCCCCAACCTTCCCAGAGCTGAATACAGGCTTAGTTAAAATTTAAAAAAAAAATCTTAAAACGCATATATTCCATGAACATATCCGAATACATTAATTACACAAATTATAAAATAATTGACAACAGTATATATAAAAAAAAACAAGAAGAGAGAAAAAAAGAAACAGAAATCTTAAACTTTAAATATAAGTTATTCAAAAACTAAATAATATTTTTTTATATCCAACTTATATTGTATAAAATCTATCCATCTTTTCCATACCAAGAGATACTTCTTTTGCGATTGAGAAGTGTGACTGTATTGTAACTTTGCAAGGTTGCTAAGCTGAGTGTGATACTGTAATTCGAGGACCATCTGTCTTTACAAATGACTTGGAGGGAGTTTACCTTCCACAAATTAGATTTACCTTCCACACCTTTTTTCCTTCAGGTTATCAGACTTCAAAGTCTGGCTAGCTCAGTTATGGAAATTGGAGCCCAACTTATCTGGGACCTCTTTGAGTTGGAAAAGTTGGATTAGCTTGTTATGTGTTCCATGTAGCAATGTCATGTTTTTAACTGTCGCAACAATGGAGCCATCGTTGGATAGGGACGTCAAGCAAACAAACTCACAACCATACAGGTGTAACTCCATTGCAAAATACATCATTGAAGGTGATAAAGCGTGAATGTTCAGCTTTGGGACTAGTTCTACATCCTAAAATATACATGCCTTTAAAGTAAGACAAGAGAGAATGAGGTTATGTTGAGGAATAATTAGTACGCTGAGAATGTTCTGCTAAACTAATGAGGCAAGACATTTATTAATAGAGAATGAACTGTGCTGCATATTGTCCATCTCACCCTCCGAAATGAAATCTAGCAATTTTCCAAAATAGCTTCAGGATGGATTGCTTCCAGCAGCTGGAAGCTGCTCAGATATTAACTGGATTAAGACTCTTCTTCAAAAACAGCTACTTGATACAGGGAATAATTAGGCCTTGTCTTGTGGTGGAGATGGTTGATGACTTCTCGTTATGAGATGACAACCAGTTTGGCCTAACAATTCATTCCTCATACAGGATGAGGGCCTCTGGGTTCACCTGGCAGCCCTTTAAAACTGGTGATAAAGTACAAGATCTGATTATATGCCATCAAATCAACCACATACATGGAAATCTCTCGTGTGGTTTCAACTCATGTGACCCTTCAGCAGGTCTTCCAATGGTGCCCCATTGCTCTTGCAACGGGTCTTATCCATCTTGTCCCAAAGATACGTTTTCACGAGGCAACTGGACTTTCTTGGGGTTTTTGGAAGACGTTTCGCTTCTCATCCAAGAAGCTTCTTCAGCTCTGTCCAGAGGCCAGAGCTGAAGAAGCTTCTTGGATGAGAAGCGAAACATCTTCAAAGAAAAACAAGGAAGTCCAGTTGCCTCGTGAAAAAGCATCTTTGGGACAACCATGCACCTGGATGACTGAGAATCTCCATAGACACTTATCCATCTTGTTTATTTGAAGGTCAACAGGCACTTATAGGAAACATAAGTCAGGAGATGTAATATGACCTTTAGAACTGAGGGCCTTAACCACCAGAGGCAGCCACCTCAGCCTGCCTAATGACAGAACTGGCCCAGATCTAGCCATCTATTTGCTAGATTTCTAGCCAGATTGTATTAATTATACTAAGTGAGAACATGGATGAAAGCAGACCTGGTTAACCCAGATCATACAAAATTAAGCTGTCCCCTGTACTGTAACAGGAGCATCTAGTATCCATGCTGGCTTGGGAATTCGGGAAATTGAAGTCCACAGAGTTGCCAAAGTTGGACTTCCCTGCCCTTCAGGGTGGGTTGGTTAACAAGCTGGTTAAAAAAGAATGAACTGCCTTTCAAAAAGTGTCTTTGAGCACGCCATCGTTCTTTGACAAGCTTATGACAGGAGCTAAAAAAAGCAAAGGATATACTTGAAGGCCAGATAGCTGCGGGTGGCAAAATGGGCTAGTTTCTCCTTGTTAGCCACAGAATCGTCTTCAATTTGTAGAGAGACTTCCTCTTCATTCTGGTTTTGATTGCAGGGCTTCAATCCACTCTATAATTCTTCATCTGGTTATTTGAGTTGTGCTTAATTTGTTGAGTCTGATTACAGCTACAGATGTTGCTTTCTCCTGTTCGGTTGCTGTGTTTACAGTTCTTGGTTTGTATCTGATGATTGTTCCAGATGTTCTGAGTTGCAGCTGCAGCAATTTTAGGCAACCAGGGGTTAGCTGGTGAACTCCGGCCCTTTTCTTGGGAGGTTTTTGAGTCAATGTTGTGGGCACATCAAATAGCAGATTGCATGGTGGAGATTTATCTTTTGAAGGGGAGATTCTTGTTCCTTTTTTAAAAAGAATATGTCAGTGATATCCACATGTTCTCTTTGGCTAAAACAGAAATCAGTGTTAATTACAGTGGCTCTTGCAAGTCACAGCTCATTGCCAGAGCAGAGAAAACCAAGGTGTTTTTAGTCCAAGAATTGGCTATTGATGGTGGATTCAAAGTTGAAGAAAGTGGAGCTTTTTCAGCCAATGAACGAAGACACTTGGAATTAAGATTCTCATGAAGAACTTTAAAACTTACTGGGTTTTTGAGGATTGATTTTCCTCATTAACATATGGAGGACATACAAAGATGCCTTCTGCAGTGCCAAATGTTTCATTGATTGATTGGGTTTTTATCCCACCTTTATAAATAATACAAGGCGGCAAACATACCTAACACCCCTGCCTCCTCCTGTTTTCCCCACAAAAACAACCCTATGAGGTGGGCTGAGCTGAAAGAGAATAATTGGCCCAAGACCACCCAGTTGGCTTTCCTGTCTAAGACTGGACTGGAACTCCCAGTCTCCTGGTGATTGACCCCAAATTACCCAGATGGGTTTGAAGCCTAAGGAGGGACTAGAACACACAGTCTCCTGTGATTGGCCCCAAGTCACCCAGCTTTAATGCTTAAGGCAGGACTAGAATTCACATTCTCCTGGTGATTGGCCCCAAGTCACCCAGCTTTAATGCTTAAGGCAGGACTAGAATGCACAGTCTCCTGGTGATTGGCCCCAAGTCACCCAGCTTTAATGCTTAAGGCAGGACTAGAATGCACAGTCTCCTGGTGATTGGCCCCAAGTCACCCAGCTGGCTTTTACACCAAAGGTGGGACTAGAACTCACAATCTCCCAGTTTCAGGGCCAGCACCTTCAGTACTATTCCAACTGACTCTCTTTTAATTTTCACAAACATTTGTGAGAATAAAATCGCTGGCACACCTCTGAGTTGTTGGGACCACACATTTCCATGGTTGGCAAATTTCTGCATTGTGGGAAACCTGTTTCCCAGCAGGATGCTATTTCTTTTGCAATTAAAAAAAAATGCTGGGAATGTTTGGAACAGAAGGACCGAACAGGGTGACTAAGGAAAGAGCAAACATAATGTTTATCAGGTATTCTTGCAAGGATCAGATAAAAAGACAAGAGAACTTTTGTTTAGGAAAAAAAAACTTTCCAAGGCTTATGCAAACCACAGGCGGAATTTGAAAGGCTGCATTTAAAGAAAGAGGGACCTTGAATTTAGACAATCAGCAGAATGAAATCTTCTACATGGCCTTCTGTGCTATGCTTTATAAACTATAAGACAACGATAGCTGAAATGTTGGGTCTTCTGAGTAATTTGTGATAAATATTCAAGGGGCAGTGCTCTTCTTCTCTTTATTTCATAGTAGAAACTTTTTGCTTTTCTATTTCTGTTAGCTGTCTGCAACGGGATAGAAATTCTTCCTAGTGCACAGAAGCTACACTTGAGGAGAGCCTGACTCGACAGGGAATTAATAAAATCTACACTAGGGTGTTGAATTCCTGTGTGCACTTAAATAAGAGCAAGTTTTTGAACCCTTCACATGGCCTTCGAAAACAGTTTCTTGCTCAGATTTTGGAGGCTAGGATGTTAGTAGTAGTTAGTTGGTATTGCTCTAGGTCAGGAGTAGGCAACTTTGGCTCTTTTATGACTCGTGGACTTTAACTCCCAGAATTCCTGAGCCAGCATGGCCAAGAGCCAAGGTTGCCTACCCCTGCTTTAGGTTGACCAAGGAGCTGATTTGTTTTTACCTACTACCTTTTATCTTTTATTGTCCTTTTTCTTGTCTTTAGAAGTTTGTTTTTGTTCTTACATCTTGTCCACTTGCCCAGCATTCTTTGTTTAAGATAGATGGCCATCTAAGTTTGCATAGAAAAAATTAATAATACATGGATAGTTGTCCTCGTTTAGCAACTGTCTCCTTTGGTGACTCACTCGCCTTATGACGGTGATGAAAAAGTAATTTTACAACCAATCCCCACATTGATGAACTTCGGAGCTCTGTAAAAGTAAAGGAAAACTGAAGTAAGGATAATCACAGTTGTAGCTTCTTTTAGCAACTGTTTTGCTTAATGACAAGAATTGTCAGTCTTAATTGTGATCACTGAACAAGGACTTCCTATAGTGCTCTTACAAGAATCTTGTTTATACCTCTTCATCCACACTTCCAAACTATTTCATCATATTTGCTATGTTTCACTCTTTAAATAATAAGAATAGATCACAAGCTTATTCCCAGGTTTGACTTTAAGGTCTGAAGCAAGGAGAAGTAAACTTTGGCTTAGGATGATAACTTATCTGGGCCCCAGCCTTTAAGCAAAACCTTTTCCCCTATAATCTTGGGGAGACTTAGTTTCACCTCTCTTGACAATCAATCTTTTTCCCCTGACAGAACAGCTGTACCAGACAGCTGCTCAACCTTAAGTTCCTTGGAGGGAAAAAAAATAAGATTCAGATGTAGCAAGTTAATCTAGTTTGGCCCTTAATCACATCACTTTGTCTACACTTTAATTTTCCCATCTGCAAACTTGGGATAATATTGCTGACCTAGTTTGCTGGGTAAGAGGCAAAACGGGCTTTGAACATACTTAAGCCATATGCAAATACTGATAATTTGCGACCATCACTTCTGCATTGTGCTTGGAAGTATTTTTTCCTTTAGCTGAGTCAGCCTGGCTCTTACTTAAGTGTTTTAGATAGAGGGGGTAGATGTGCAAGGACACCTCAGTGCCACAATGCCCCAAAGAGAAAGCAACCCCCTCTGACTTTATGCCATTACTTTTTCATTTACCATCTTGACCCATACTGATCATTCCCATGTTGATCATTTATTTGTCGGTGCATATTTTTTGTGTGTGCTATTTTATTTATTATTTATTGGGTTACTGTTGGGAGGTGGAATTAAACGGGTTACAAGTTTGGAATCCTTGCGTTGCCACAAGAGTTCCAAGTATAGCACCCTGTAAATTTGTTGACCCTTATTTAGAACCAATTTAGCTTTGACCATTGCTTGACTAGAATCTTGTGTACAGGTGGCAGTAATAAACTTCTTCTGTACTTTGAAATCAACCAGTGTTCCCCATAATTTGCACCTGACAATTTGGCATTAGAGGTACTGTTCATATTGAATCTGTTTGATGTTGCCATATTGAATTCTGCTTTGTTAGTTGTTATTATGTTCTTTCTCTTTTCTGTCTTGTTTCTTTTTCCTCTTTCTTCTTTCCCTTTCTTTAAACTTGATGGCAAACCTCATGAGTGGTGGTACTTTCTTCCCCTTGGACTAAAAGTTTGGTGTGATCCAAAGATCAAACAATTGTTTGACCACAAGCTGGAATACTTGAGACGTTCAGTTCCTGTGCGTGTAGTAGCGAGACCTTTCCATTATGACTGTACAATCTGGTAGCCCTGAATTGAATCAGCCCTGAAAGGAGGGGGGGGAGAATTGATGAAGTCAGATAAGGACTCTTCAGAATTGGGGGTGGAGGGAGAGAGAGAGAAGAGAAGATACAATTGTAGGCCAGTTTTAGAGTGTTGCAATTGATGCTGCTTGCCAGGCAGAAAATGGCTCGTATTTTATAAATGCTTTATGGGTAGATACAGAAGTCTCAAGGAAAACTACCTGCGCTATATCAACCTAGATGTTTTTACAATTCGGCTGTGCTCCCATGGAGGTTTCTAGGCTCTGGAGTTACCAGGAAGTGCTGCTCACCTGCAAAGTGGCCCAGCTTGTTATGCATGTCAGGATTAGAATCATGAAGAGGCTTGCCACATGTTCTACAAATGACCTTTACAGGAGGATATTGCATAGCTGTTGTGGGAAACAAATATCTGGACTGCATCACCTTTAGGGAAGCTTCTGTGGGGTTTTTCCTGTGCTTGCTTTACTTATTTCTTTAGACCCAGTCTTTATTCTTTCTATAAATACACAACTAATAGTCCTTCCTCCTCCTATTTTCCCGACAATGACAACCCTGTGAGGTGAGTTGGGCTAAGAGAGGGACTGATCCAAAATTACTCAGCTGACTTTCATGCCTAAGGTGGGGCTAGAACTCACCGTCTCCTAGTGATTGGCCCAAAGCCACCTGGTTGACTCAATGCCTAAGACAGGACTAGAACTCACCGTCCAGCCAGCTTTCATGGCTAAGATACGACTAGAACTCACTGTCTCCTGGTGATTGGCCAAAAGTCACACAGCTGGCTTTCATGGCTAAGATAGGACTGGAACTCACCGTCTCCCGGTTCCTAGCCTGGTGCCTTAACCCCTAGACCAGTGGTTCTCAAATAGTGGGGCAGGCCCCCCAGGGGGGGTGCGAGGCTCCGTAAAGGGGGGCTCGTTTGACCTCGGCAAATACTGTCATATTGGATGCACGTGACACACGCAAAGGACCCGATTGGATAGACAGTCACACGGGGGGGCGCGAAATGTTTTCTTCTTCCTAGGGGGGGCATGACAGAAAATAATTGAGAACCACTGCCCTAGACAAACCGGCTCCCTTTATGCCCTATAGCCATGGTGGCGAACCTATGGCACGTGTGCCACAGGTGGCACTCAGAGCTCTCTCTGTGGGCACGCGCGCCGTCACCCCAGTTCTAGACCTTCAGCTGGGTTTTATAAAACCTTTTCTCTTAAGGCCTCCACCGCCGTGTGCAAAAAAAAAAGCTCAATCAATTTCAACTTCTCGTGGGAGAAAAAAAGATCTCGCAAAGTTGGAATTGATTGATTGAACTTTTTAGTCCCAACCAGTCTGCCGTTATCACTGCAGCCATGCCCACCCAATGGGCCACACCAACCCAATTGACCACACCTATCCAATGGCCACGTCCACCCGGCACCCGATGATAGATAGGTAGGTTTTGGGTTGCAGTTTGGGCACTCGGTCTCTAAAAGGTTCGCCATTGCTGCCCTATAGAAAGTATTGGCCTTTGCAGTGCACAAATGGATGCATGTGGCCTCTATCCAGGTTGCTGCAAATCTCTAACAAGATGGAGAACCAGGGTGGCAAAAGGATGAAATGCCGGACTCTAACTGGGGACGGGCATATTCACCTCTATCCTCAAAACACAGCAAGGACATCGGTCCGTGGTTTTCTGCCAGGCCAACTTATCTCACAGGATGTTTGGGGTGGAGAAAAAGTTGCAGGAGGAAGTGCTGCCGGCCTGCCTTAAGCTCCTGAATGAGAAGAGGGACTTAACTGTAAGAAAAGTCTAAAAATTAAGTGTTGCCCAAGGAGCTTGAGCTGAAAAAGGTCTGTGTGTGTCCTCGGTTTGGCAAAGGAGCGCACCCTGTGTTCTGATAAACAGGCAATTTGAATGCATTTTCAGGCCAAGTCCCTCCCTGGTTTGTTGTGTAGCTTTGGTACACAAAGTGTGCCTGGCTTGTGGCTTTCCCAAGTTGCTTTTCACACAGGATTTGGTTTGCTGACAGTTGCAGGCTGATTTCCTCTGTGACGGTGGTTAGTGGTTTGCTTTTTATTGACCTTCCCTGAGTGTGACATTTAGTCTCCCAAGAAGCTTGGCTAAATGTCTCCGAGTCTATTTGAGGGTTTCTGTTAATTCCTTCCAGCCAGGAGAGAGAACCTGTTGGTGCAACAGTTGTTGCTTTGCGATTCTTTACCTGGGACACAGAGAGTCGAAGTACAAACAGCCCTTCAGTTCACATCAAGTCTGCTGGAGTCTGTGGCCACCCCCCCCCCCCATGGTGCTGAGCTTGGGGTTCATATGGGACAGCACGTATGGCTTACCTACCATTATCCCTTTTCCGATTCCGACAACACTTCAGCTTAATCCTTGGTAGATACAATTAGGGGAATTTTAAGAGGTTTAACTCCCCTAACTCTTATCTAACATATCTGCCCTGCCACAATCCAGATGGCTAGTAGATGGAAGCAGGGAGAGACTAAAAAATTCTATTGAGCGAGCAGTCTAGATTTTTGCGAGGGGGGAGGAGGAGGTCCTCTTAACATTTGAACAAAGCCTGACATGACTCTCAGCCTGATGGAACTGGGAAATCCCCAGGCTAAGCCGTGGCTTGTTCACAGTTTCGTGAATAAACAAATGCGGAATATTTTATGAATCCAAAAGAATTCAGCGGCTACCTTGCTCTCCTGAAAAGCTGCTCAGAAACCATTCCCCTTGACACATCCTCGACAGAAGCACCACGTATAAAATTTCAGCCTCGATTCTTCAGCCTTTCATTTTCATTTTTATTTAAAAAAGGGGGGGACATGGCAAACGTTGGCAGAGCTGAATGAGGCTGAGACGCACCACCTGGGCACCAAGAGGAAGGCAAGAGAAGTGTGGTGATTTACAGAGGGCAATGTGCACATCCCTGTAGGGGAGCAATCAGTGGTGATTTGTAATACAGGTTGCCATTAAAAGGGGAGGGGAAGGCCTGCGGTGGATTTTTACAACCCCCCCCCCTTTGCCTTACAGTGTTGGGCAGCTTGGAGCCATCTCCTCTCCGTCTTCCAAACCACAGATGACAGGGTGAAAGGCGCATATCCCAGAATATCTGGCTTATTAAAGAGCATTTCAAACCAGGATGGTAATCAAATGGCAGCCTGGAGGGGCCGGGCGAATTGGATAGTTTCCCCATGAAGAACTGAGGGCAGAGCCAAGAACGAGAGAAAAGAGCTGGTTGCGAGACTCTCTTTGCATCTTGGAGGCCTTTGTGGCTGGCGCTTTATGGGTGAAATAAAATCTCTTTTGCTTCAAACTCAATTCTTGTTGACCTCATGACAACTTACAACCACAATTGAGCCCCACATTTCTATGGCTAGGCAAGGCAGGGGTGATGAGCCGTGGTGGCGTAGTGATTAGAACGCAGTACTGCGGGCTGCTTCTGCTGACTGCCGACTACCTGCAGTTCGGCAGTTCGATCCTGACCGGCTCAAGGTTGAGTCAGCCTTCCAGTTTTCCAAGGTCGGTAAAATGAGGATCCTGATTGTTGGGGGCAAGAGGCTGACTCTGTATACCACTTGGAGAGGGCTGTAAAACACTGT